CCTGCTGAAAGCAAGTCTCCTTTCGGATAGGAACCATCAGTTTGTGTGGAACCCACTGGCGGATCCTGCTACAAGCCTGGGCTCTGAGGTGTTCTGAAAATAAAATCAGAGATATAAAAATAAAAATCAAATGTATTGCCAAAGAGCAGAAACTCGTTTTGATAGAGAAGGTGAATAATTGGAAGTAAAGATGACTGCTGCTGTTCCTTTTGCACTGTCTATGACTGCTTTATCTCAGGTTTACTCTAAGTATCCTGATAGCACGCTAAGATTATTCGAGAGAGAGAATGAATCTACCATGAAGGAACAACTCTGTCTTAAGATGACGACTGTGGGATGTGTGAGACTGGGGTGCTATACTGCTTTTTGTGTGTGCAGCATTCAGTTAGACGAGATATGGGAATTTTTTGTTTTGGTTTGGTTTAATAAAGAAAACTGGTAAGCATCAAAGGTTATAGTTAGCCAAAATAGTAATTGTTTTAGTTTGACTGAATTCAGTGGATTGGCAACAGAAATGCACCTGGTTCTTGTTCAGTGTTCCGTTTTAAGACATTTCACTTATTTTAACAACCACTAAATCCCTCTGCACTCTTTTGTCTGCCAGCTCTACAATCTGTGGAAAGAAAAGAACATGTGCACATGTTAGAAATTGCTTAAAATGACAGGAGAAGGACTTTCAGCAACTCTTTACAAGGCAGGAACTCAACTATCTTTGTCAATAGAACCTTGCCATTTGTTTCCGAGCAAAGTGGGTTTGCTTGCTTAACAGTATTTGATAATTAGAAAAGAAACAACTTTGGAAACAAAAGGATGTTTTTAATTCAAGCCAAATAGGGTAGGGCTGAATGAATCCAAATTCTTATATCTCAAGAGTGTTGCTTTACAAATTTTCTAGCCTTTTATAACTGTAATCAACACCAATTAGTCAAAAATTGTCAAATATTTATAAACTGGTTTGCTTCTGCTCTTTTTCTTTTCGTAAAGGAAAGTATCTGAGAAGTGTCTCCAGGTAGGCAATAACCAACATTCTGGTATGCACCCATGTCATGTGATTAGATGGGATGTTTGACTTCTATTGAAATTTTTTCTCTTC